ATATCAGGGAGACCGTTTGGGCGTGGAGTTCGCAACAGAAGCACATTCAAACCTGCTGCGAGATGCCGGTCTTCTTGATGACAGCAGCCAGATCCTCTCAAAGAGACCTCTCAGTCGGGAGGGTCCATGGCAGGCACTGATCATAGACGATTTCTCTTGCCTTTCGACTGAAGAGCCGCATACGGCCCTCCACGAGGCGTCCTCAGCGGTTAAGGTAAGAGCTGCCAAGGCAGCATACTCTGCCGCAAATGTGAAGGGTTCCGACCGCAAGGATATCCTAGGCTCCAGGCTCTTCGTCGCTGCAGGAGCACAGGTCGATGCGACTGAGCAGGCCTCCTCTTTTGGACTTACACTTGTTTCCCCCCCCACTGGGAAACTTTTGGCTTTGTCTACCATCAGCCTGCGCGCTGCGGCCCTGCCCGCCATATCTGCTGAGCTGGCTTCGAACTTAGCCGGGTCTTCGATAGCAGCGCTGATGTATCGTCGATGCCTCTTCTCGGTGCTCGATGGTTTCTTTGGTCTGGGCAAGACGCAAGCCTCCACGGCACAGGGTAGCCAGCTTCGTTTCTTTCCTAGGAAGGAGGCCCAGGAGCTCGTCCTCCTAGCCTCGTTGGCGCCGGTTGTTTGTACCAACATCTCCGCCGACTTCTCCGACAAACTCTTCTGCTCTGACTCGTCTATGAGTTCCGGAGCATTCTGCTCCGCTCCTGTTGGTCGGGAGGCTGCGGCAGCTCTTTGGCTCTCCACTGACAAGAAGGGAAGCTACACTATGCTTGACTCGGGCCAGGCGTGTGAGCCTTCGCCGTTTCTGGATGATGCCGAGGCTGAGCTGCTTGAGGGTGCTCCCGCAAAGCCCCTCGCCATGAACTACGATGTGCTTTGCCTCCTCGCCGGGTCCGAAGACATTGCTGCCAGCTGTCGCGAGGTAGGCCTGTGTGCGTCCCCGGTCATTGACCTCAGCCGCTCCAGGGAGTTCGATGTCTTGTCGTCGCTTTTCCTTGATTGGGCTCTGTACTTACTGTGGCAGGGCCGCGCAAGGAGCCTTGTTGTTGTCCTCCCATCCGGGGGTTGGAATTAGGGCCCAAAAGCCCGCCGGCAGGAGACGCTCTGGAAGCTAGGTTCACGCGCACTTGCCCTCTTCAAGCTGTGGATTAGGGCCCGCCGACCTGCTTTCCTGTTCTTCCGCAAAGGCACCAGCTTCCTCGGAAATGTTGCAGCTGCTTCGCTGCTTGATGTGCCTGGGGTCTCACTTATGCCGTCTGGGCGGCCTCCCCGTGATGGTGCCTCTTCCGCTTCCTGTTGTCCTGCTCTCCTTTTCGCTCCATCGGAGCCACCGAGGGAGTTTTGGGCCAGCCGCGAACTGCCGCACCTCGCAGCCCTTGGACCCGCGAAATCCCGCAGGCACCTCCTTTCTGCTTCAGAGCAACGTGCCTCGGATGCGCAACCAGGCCTCGAGAGTGTCGCTATAAATGACTGCCTCCTTTCGGCAAACTGGGAGGTCGAGAAGGTGTGGCAGTGGGAGAAGCCCAGGCACATAAACGCCTTGGAGACTGAAGCCGGGGTCACCGTCCTGAAGAGCCTCGCTCGTGGCCCTGGCGATTTGAGGCCGGTTATCATCCTCGTTTCCTCCTGCGCGAGGGGAGCCTTAGCAAAGGGGAGATCATCGGCGAAAGTCCTCCGCCCATCTCTCAGGAGGGCAGCTGCCATCTGCGTCGCAGGAGGTCTGTTTCCGGTCTACGCTTTTGGCCCGACTAGGTTGAATGTGTCGGACGATCCCACCAGGAACACCCCATTGCGCGCGCCAGTTGAACTTAGCCTGCTCAGTGGACTTGATGAGCCCGGCACCGTCAAGCTCTGCAAACTCGCAGGCCTAAACCGGCCAAGGGCAAACTGGGTTCGCCTAGTTATGCTGGCTTCTAGGGGGGACAGACGTGTCTGCCTGGATGCCCTAGAGGTTTTCCCCGAGCGGGCCTGTGATGCCGCGCCACCTACTGGCCTTTTCCCTTCTGGTCCCTGCCCAGCCCGTGCAGCAGAGGATTTTGCAAGGATTGCTTTGTTCCGGGGTTTCGTCTCTGCCTCGACGCTTGGCCAGCTCCTTGAGCTCCTCCCCTCTGAGGGAAGATCCCGTTTTGGCCAAGAGACCGGCGCAAAGTACTGGACCACTGGCCTGTACGCGCAGGGCCCCTTTACCGGTTTGAGGGCCATCACTACTCGTTTCTCCTGGGCCACCAGACTCGTGGTTGAGTGTGTCAAGGCAGTATGCCCAGGTTTCGAGTTCACGTCTGTGGCCCTGCTACAGCAAGTCCGCTCCAGCCTCCACAAAGACCTCAATAACCACCCTGGCCGTCACAGCGCCGTCTTCCCTCTCTGTGCTTTCTCTGGAGGCCACATTTGGGTCGAAGGAGGGGCCAATGACTGCAAGGAACTTGTCGCAGGCCAGGTTAGGTCCGGGGAGCTGCTCGACGTTGCCCAAGGCCTGGTTTTCCTTGATGGGTCTAGGCTGCACCTCACCAGGGCCTGGGAGGGCGTCCGTCAAGTTGCAGTTGCGTACTCTGTCAAGGATCCGTGGCGTGTTCCTTTTGCAGCGCGACGAAAGTGCCGGTACCTTGGGTTCCCTTTGCCCAGGCTTAGGGCACCACGTGTCTCTGACCCTGCCAAGCACCGCTTTATGGACTTCGACTCTTCCCTCGGCTTTCCTGGAGAAGGGCCTCTTGGTCCTCCGTCTCTCCTCCTCCTCGCCTGGATTTTCACTGTTTGTCATGCCGCCCTACTTGGGCCCCGCAATGCTGCCGATCAGGCCCGCGCTGCTCGGAGGTCCCCCGCTGGTTTACCTTCTGGGAGGGTCGTGCTTCCTCGTACAGGGTCGTACAGGGCTGACTTAGTCGCAGCTTTCTCGCAATGGCTCCTCGAGGTCTCTGGGAAACCACTGCAGGAGCTGCTCGTCGCCAAGCCCTTTGACCCTGAAGTTGTCAGTGACTATTTGGTCAGGTATGGACGAGATCTGTACGGTTCGGGCAGGCCATATTGGCATTTCGCCGAGACCATCAACGCGGTTACATCTGTGAAGCCAACCCTCCGACGTCAAGTCCAGGCGGCCTGGGATTTGAGCTTCGCATGGCTAGCTGAGGAGCCCTACTCGCACCACACAGCGATCCCACCAGTAGTATTGGTCTCGCTGCTCACAGCAGCTCTGATCTGGGGATGGGTGCGAGAGGCCGGCTGCTTCGCTTTGGCTTTCGGAGGCCTTATGAGGATCGGCGAGGTGACAAAGTGCCTCCGAAGATCTCTTATCCTCCCAGCTGACGTTGGCTTTACCCAGAATTCCATTCTGGTTCAACTTGAGGAGCCAAAGACCCGGAACAAGGGGCCCCGTCATCAAGCAGCAAAGGTTGAAGCGCAGGACCTGGTGCAGGTAGCTTTTGTTGCCTTTGAGAGACTCGCCCCCTCCGAGAAGCTGTGGCCTTTGTCTCCTCAGACTTTGCGAAAAAGGCTGGACTTGCTGTTGAACCAGATTGGCGCATCACCGCCCCCTAGGGGAACACGCGCGCTGGATCTTGGGTCGTTCCGTGCTGGGGGAGCGACCTACTTACTTCAGCAAACCGAGGACTCCGAGCTTGTCAGGCGCCGAGGCCGCTGGGCGTCTGCACGGGTGATGGAAACTTACCTGCAAGAGATAGCAGCGGTCACGTATCTGCCAGCCCTCCCCGCGGGTCAGAAGTCGCGGATCTTTGCCATCTCCGCTGGGTTTCCCTCGGTCCTACGACAAGCGGTCAAGTGGGTACATGCGGACATTCAGAGGTCAGTTTGGTACAAGCTTTGGCCTGGAGAGTTATCTGCACACGATGGGAGTTAACGGGGACTTACGGGTCTCAGTTTTTCGGCTGGTGTGAATCCCAGCCAGGTCGTATCGTGTGTACATGCCACCCGGTGCAAAAAGACGAAGTGCGAGCCACTGACAATAGTGGCGAGAAACGAGCAAGCACCCGTGGTGATTGGCTCAAAGAACCCACCCGCCTCTCCCGGGTCTCAGTTTTTCGGCTGATGTGAATCCCAGCCAGGTCGTATCGTGTGTACATGCCACCCGGTGCAAAAAGACGACGTGCGAGCCACTGATTAAAGACGTGTGGGTCCTCATCTGGTCGTCTAGCAGTCTAGCAACGCATCGTGCTGCCTTCAATGCATGATGCATGAACTCTGCGCGACCTGGAAGGATCGGCTAAAGCAACATGGAACTTGCCCTTGCAGGATTGCCATCCCTGCTCCGCTCTTCACATCGCTCTTCCGATGTTTCGCTTGTACATATTTGGCATATTATATGCACAACGCCGCGCTGCAACTACAAATCCTGTCTATGCTTCCTTCCCCTCGCCTTGGTTGTCGTGTTTTCATTTGTTTTTGCAGCCGCCAGTTTCCGCTCGAAGCAGTCAGCTGTACACGGGGTCATGTCGGTACAAGGCAAGAAGTTCACAGCTGTTCTTACACGATGCTGAGCCTTATCCGGCGAAGACCTGCCTTGTTGGCGGCAGATTGTGCATCCTCGAGTGTGCGTAAAACAGCTTCATGAACTCAAGTGGCTTTGAGGCAAGGATCAACTGCGGAATGAACGCAGCTAGCTCTGTCCGGAGTCGCCAGCGATGCTGAAGACTGCACCACGTCGCATGCGCTACCAAAGCCAGCGAACAACAGTGCAAAGGAAGCGCACCGAAGCATTTCCCACTCGCACATTCTACTCGCTACCTGTAGGCTACCGCGGCGACGACCGATTTACAGGCTATGCAGCTTGTGCATGAACGATTTCGTTTCGCGAGCTTGCCCACAAGCTTTATCACCACGCCTCGCACGCTCGGAGATTCCACGTTCTTGAGTCGTGAATCGGAGCAAGGGCGGTCGAGACTACCGCATGTGTCAACAACACCTAGCAACAAGCAGCAGCACAGTGGCACTGGAGTGAAGTGACATGCTTCGGTCGTCCTCTACCGGTGCTGGTGTGTGTGCTGAAGGTGCTTTTCGAGCATTCAGACCCACTGGAAGCTCGCACCCCATGTCCATAGGCAGCATCTTTGCGACAGAGGAGACTCAGCACCTCTGCTGCCCGAGGTCTTGCACCTTTCAGTTGAGTTCCTGCTAGAGGCCGTTCATCCCAGTCAAACATCGTCTACTAGTCTTGGACAGTCTCGTAAATGTTGGAGGATCTGACCCGGCTTTGTGAATGGAAGCTGATGCAGGGGCTGACGCTGGACCCTGCATCTGCAATAGTTCTGCAATGCAACTTCTGTAGAGTGCAGCTGTTCATGAGCACTTGGCCTTGCAGGAGAATGCTCTTGCCACTTTTGGCTCTGTGGTCACTGTCCGCAACCAGGCATGCAGACATCGCCAGCATTCTGCCAACACGGGCCGAGTCGTCACTGCAGTTTTGGCCTCGGCAGGTGCCGGCTCTGGTGGAGTCTTGCATAGAAAGGCTTGCGGCTTCAGGGCTGGTTGCATTGCATCTTTCGAGAGCCCACAGCTGGAAAGTCGCGCCCGTCAGGATGCAGGGCCGCATGAAAGACGCCTGGGGCCCTTTCGAGAGCTAGAAGATTAGCTTGACCTTCTAGCTTCGAGGTGGTTGGAAGCGAATCCTTCAAGGAGCTCTGCCGTAGCGGTGACCTCAATCATGCTGACGCGAGAGTTGTGTCAAGGGAATGTCGGCTGAGGAATGCAGTGATGGGCAAGTCTTACTGTGTGTCAGGTGAAGTCGGCGTGCGGGAGTTGCTGCTTTCGCTCGACGAGTGATGACCTTAGCCAACGACAAGGTCAAGGTATGTGTTGAGAGATGCATTGGCCATGTGTTGGCCAACGAGGCCTCTCGCAAAGCGGCGTCGAATGCTTCCTGGTGTCAGACCAGGCTGAGCTGGGCCGGGCTGAAGGGTGCGGCGAGGTATCGCTCAGCGCTCTCGTCCGCAACTTCTACCCATCTCCGACAATTTAAGAATTCGGAGATATGCGACGCGTAGCATGCCAAATTGTGAAACTGAGTCCAAAGGTGCAGGGCTGAGTTGTTGCAGCGAGCGTCCATCGTAACTCATGTTTGCAGATGTGGCTGGTGCCGGTGCAGGGTTTCGGGCAGGGCTCCGTGGACGGTGCACGGTGGCGGAGGAAGGAGGAGGGAGGAAGGAGGAAGGAGGAAGGAGGAAGGAGGAAGGAGGAAGGTGGTTCCTGTAAGGTTCGAAGAAGGCCAGGAGCTGCGGGCAAGTTTCTGGGGAATGTTTTATGAAGTTGCGGGCGGAAAACTTCGTAAGTCAGTGTGTCAAGACAGGAACTGGGCCCCTTGCTGTTCGAGCTGTCACCTCGGTTGGTAAGGAGTTTTGTCCCTTCCTGCTTTGTCCCATATCTTCGGCTTCAGGAGAATCTCTGGCTCAGAGACTCGTAACTCGCTGTTGACCAATGGAGGCGACAAGGGACGGCAAGATCCGGGATGGCCGGATAGCGCTGTCCACAGCTCTTTGGGACACTAGCTTAGAAATGCCCGGTCGTCAGGATGCTACTGAAGTCGATGCACGGGATGCCAACACGCCGGACAAGTGGGTTAAGCGTCATCCGGACATGCTGCGCAACACTGGTATGCATCCTTTCAACTCGGAGCCACCTCTCAAGAACTTGCAGGCAGCGGGTTGGATTACACCCCCTGCTTTGTATGTGGTTCGAAACCATGGAGCAGTGCCACAGCTTTCCTGGTCCGAGCATCGGCTGAAGATCACAGGAGTCCCAAAGCCGGTGGAGCTAAGCATGGAGCAAATCACGTCTGGTGAATGGGGCACCATTGTGTCGATCCCAGTGACCTTTATCTGTGCCGGAAATCGGCGCAAGGAGCAGAACCTCACCAAGAAGACGGTCGGTCCCTTGAAAAGATCAATCAGTTTCGTTTCCTTTTGAGTTGAGTTGTTTTCCTTCACACTGCACTTCGGAAAGTCGGGTGCGCGCCACCAAGGATTCGATTGGGGAGCCGGTGCCGTTGGAAACTCCGTGTGGACAGGAATCCGCCTGTGCGACTTGTTGGCCGCGGTTGGCATTACACGGCCTTCGAAAGAGCATCGCTTCGTCCATTTCGAAGGTCCTCTGGGCGAGTTGCCCCAAGGGAAAACGGGATCCTATGGCACTTCCATTGATTTGGGCTGGGCGCTGGACAGGGAGCGAGATGTGCTGCTGGCTTTCAAGCAGAACGGAGAGCAACTTACCCCGGACCATGGCTTTCCTCTGCGAACGCTGTTGCCGGGTTGCATCGGTGGCCGGATGATCAAATGGCTCTCTAGCATGTGGGCTTCTTGTTTGCAAGTCTTGAAGAGAAGACTGTTCAGTTGATGCTGTGCTCAAGAGACTGTTTTCGAACAAAACAGCAGTCGTGATGAGAACGAGAAGCCCTTGCTATGGTCTTCTTGCCACGAGGAATCGTCGTTGATCTTTTCCGCGCATCTTCGCGTGTGATTAAGGTTTGGCACGCACATTCCCACCTGCCCACCCGCCCGCCCACCCACACCACACCCCACCTCACCACTGACCGCCCACACTGCCCACCGACCCACATACCCACGCACAGACAAACATACCCACGCACGCACAGACCCACCCACCCACACCCACACGCCCACAGACCTGCTCATCCATTTACCCACGCACCCACGTACCCACGCACACCCCACACACCCACACACCCACGCACCCACCCATGCACCACACCACCACCGCACACCGCACAAAACACAACAACGTGCACCACGGCCCGCACGTTCACGCACGCACGAACACGCACGCACCATCACCCACGCCCGATCATGCACGCAGCACGCACGGTCGTGCGCTCTGGCGTGCTGGTCCAATCCCGAGGTGACTTAAGGAACCGACGGTGAGGACTGTATTCCTGGACTCATGTTGTTGAACATCCCAACATATCCCAACCATATTGGCAGACATCATTGCCGAGTACTGAGCAACGTCTTGGACACTTCAGAATGACAAATCAACTCACAGACTCTACAGTAGCAGCTTAATCCTTGTTACAGGCATGGGCAGCTGGGCTCCATCAGTCAGTCTGTCGTTGGGAGGTCTTCAAGAGGTTCGGTTCTCTTGCTGCTGACATCTACAGCAAAAAGCTTCATCGCCACGAGTCACTTTGAGCCTGACACAGCGTACTTGTTGAATGTATCACATACTGAATGCGCAGTTGCGTGAGGATGGCATCCCATAATGTCTTGGCTTGCAATCTGGAGCTTCAGAAGGCTTCGTCGGCCCAGGGGGGCAGTTGAGCCGGTATAATTACGCAATCAGGTTGACTCTCTTGGCACGGCAGCAATCCAACGAACACGGAGACCCCAACACAGATCCTGCACTGGCTTGATCTTGTTCTCCCACCTTGTAATTCCTGTCTTCACGTCTCACAGTGTTCTGTGTCTGCAAGTCCCAGGCCGCAGCTTGTCCTCGTCAATCTAATGATCTCCTGAGCCTCTCTGTCAAGAATGTCCGTGCGAACTGCATTGATGTGATTTTTGCGATATTCCTACAGCATCAACTCTCCTCTTGGATCCATTGCAAAAAGTTTGCTCATGTTTGCTCAATCCTCTTGTGCTGCATGGGAACAATGAAGCGTATGGATGTGAAAACTACGTCAACCTTCCGTCTCCCAAGGTCTCAGACAAGCCTTCCGAGAACCATTACCATTACTTCGACAACCGCGTGCTTCCTCCTCATGTTGATGCCGATCTTGCTTACGCAGAGGGATGGTGGTACAAGCCTGAGTACATCATCAACCACATGAACATCAACTCGGCCATGTTCGAGCCGCGTCACAACTCGTTTGTGGAAGAGAAGAACTTGCCCAAAACCCTCAAGGTCTCCGGATACGGCTACACTGGTGGAGGTCACAAGATCATCCGAGCAGAGATCTCTTTGGATTCGGGCAAGTCTTGGGAGATCACTGAGCTCCAAAGGCCAGAAGATGAGATCGCAGAAGCACGAGGAACTGACAAGCACTGGTGCTGGGCTTGGTGGGAAACGGAGGTTGACATGAGTCGTCTCTTGGATAGTGCCTGCGAAGAGATTTGCTGCCGCGCTTGGGATTCCAACCAGAATTGTCAGCCTGTGCAACTCACTTGGACAGTTATGGGCATGTTGAACAACCCCATTTATCGCATCAAGATCCATCGGGAGGGCAGCAGGATGTGGTTCGAGCACCCAACTCAGGGCTCCATGCCAGGCGGCTGGATGACTGATCAAGCAGGTCAGTTCAACGAAAGCTTTGCAGTGGAGGCAACACCGGGGAAGACTGGCGTGGCTCCCTTGCGGCCAGTGGCTGCAGTGTGGAAGGGTGCCAAGATAGACTCCGTGAGTGCTGCGGGTGCCAGTTCTGCCAGCCAAGCTGCGGCAGTCAGGCCTACCAAGGCAGGCAAGCTGGTGCAGTCTACAGAGGAGTGGCTTGCAGGAATCAGTATGGAGGAAGTTAAGAAGCATGACAACGAAAAGAGCTGCTGGTTCGTCGTGAAGGGCAACGTCTATGATGGCACGCCTTATCTGCAAGACCACCCTGGGGGAGCTTCCTCCATCCTCCTTGCCGGTGGTCTCGAGACCACCGAGGACTTTGAAGCAGTGCATTCCTCGCGCGCTTGGGAGATGCTGAAGGACTACTACATTGGCCCATTGAAGGAAGCAGCGCATGAACCAGAGGCTGGAGTTTCACAGAGCTTTCTCAGCATGCTTGCATCACCACTATGGCACCTGGGTGCTGCTCTCCTCTCACCTTTCGCATCCGCTACGCCATTCTTGAATCCCCGAGAGAGCCACCAGCTTGAGCTTTCAGAGAAGATCGTTGTGAGCCACGACACCCGG